TGGGTCATGGACGGGGCAAAAGTCGCGTCTTGCAAATGAAGACGGAGATGGGTGAGGCTATTAAATACGGTTGCGTCCCAAGGAATGACGAAATTGGACAAGGAAAGTGTTCGAAGGCGGGGAGCATTTAGTTGGAACGAGGGCCCGGGGTATGGAATAGCTTTGGGCATCTGCTCCCAAGGAACGAACAAGGATAAGGTTCGTACGAAGGTTGCATCCAAGTTCTGCAATACTTGGTCTAGAATTTCCGGAGGACCCTCGATATCGAGGGTGTGTATACCGGCAGACTCTTTTAATGCCAAGTGAAGATTCTTCATTCCGCGGTTGGAATGCATGGGGAAGCGGGCTTTTAGCGCCACAGACATGTTGGCGGAGCGACGCAACTGCTCTTTGACAAAATCGGGATGATCATGCTCGTAATCAATCGCGTCGGTCCACAGTTGTGGCGAGCCCAGGGCGACGCGACGCCAAAGATGGCAGACATGCGATTGAATTTTAGGCGTTGCACAAGCGAGTTGGAAGATTATTGCAAGGATTTCGGTCGGTAGAGCGTCAATGTTTCGGGGTGTTCGGGGAGTGACTTGGTGGGTGGTCATTGGCGGCGACGCACCGAATGTTCTGGTGTTCGCTCTGCGCGAGAGAAGGCGTTACCGAATGTGACATTGTCACTGTGCCCAATTCTGTAAGCTGCACCGCGCCTCGTCGTCGTTTGCGACCCTTTCCACAGCCTCCGACCTCCTCCAGAGCGCGCGCGGGGGGCACGTTCTCCTTAGCCTACCGCGCATAACGAAATGTCGAATCGGACGACCTTACCTTCAAACCCGGCGCCTGGAATGAGTTCCAGCTCACGTCGCGACACTAACCAGTCAACTTCGTCTACCTCAGGTCGCAGTGAACGCGGGGGATCATCCAGAAGCGCCTCACATGTACGTTTCATCATGTCTTTCAGACCAAGCAACCTTGGCTAACCTGGAAGTAAGCCTGCTGTCGAGTCCGCAGTGACCCGTCTGCTTGTCGCCATTAAACAGCTACTGGAGGCGCTCACACAATGGAGTTTACTCAAGATCGATGAGAACAATGTCAGCGACGTGTATGTTCGATTGGGAAACGACTTTAATGCTGCCGTCGCCGCATTTGCGGCCTTCAATATCGACATGACGTCTGTATTATATCCTCTCCTCTATTCCATAATAGTTGGCTAACAAGTTGTTTTAAGTGAGTTAATGAGCGTGCCCGATGATCTACGAAACGTTTTGGAGCAATGTCTTGCAGAAGATGCTACTCCGGATAACCTCGAACTTTATCTTCCAACTGTGCGGCAGATCATAACAAATTTGCTGCAAGGCCTTCGTGGCAAGCAATCCATCTATCGACGCATAGTATCTGATCATCGGCGGTCTGAGCAATCATCTGGTTCCGAACGAGCGGAGAGTCGCTCCTCGCGCTCGCGCCGAGAGGGCTCTCATCGGTCCCAGCTCTCTCGGACAAACTTTGGCGAGAGCGATACTCCTCCAACGCCGACCACCAATTTGCGAGATAGAGACAGCACTTCCTCTTCCTCGCGTAGGAGTACACAGCAGTCGTCCGGTCGACGAAGGGATCCTGGCTCCCCTTCGCTCAACGGCGGCTCGCCACTGAATGGTGGGTCGTTCAGTGGGGAGCCATTCGTCGGGGGATTCGCACCCTCAATTGCGGAACAGGCTGCGGAACCGGAGATGCCTCCACAACCTGAACAGCCTGAATATTTCCCACAAGCAGAATCCCAGCCTCGCAAAGCGAGAACCGTCCCGTCTCCCATCGATCCGCCCTCAGCCGATGAATTCCAACAGCACCAATTTCCCTCCAATTCACCAAACGATCAAACATTGGCGCCCCCTCCCGCGCAAAACGTTCCGGCCAGCGTAAAGCGATATTCATTGGTGGATAAACCGCTGGAGACACCTATCGTCGTGGTAGAGTCTTCAAGTCCAAGTCCGGATCTCGACCGATTCAACGGCATCATGTCTCCTCCTCCAGAGACGCCGCCTATAATAGATGCGCCTGCTATGGCAAACTCCCTTGCTGCTCTGAAAAAGAGCGACACCTTGGAGCGTAGAGCGTCCAAGCGGTTTTCGACTTACAATATATCGAAAATGACGGGTGCGCCGACAACGCGGGACCGAACTACGCGAACTGGAGTCGGCGCTCCTAATCGGCGGTCGGCTGCTGGAACAGCGCTGACACTTGGAGACCTCGCCGAGATTACTGAGGTGGACACCGAGGAGCCATCTCCTCTTCTGAGGAGGGGTAGCTCACGGTCGCGCGCTAGTCCTGCGGCTGCACCTGAACGACGCCAAGAAACTACTGGCACGCCTCCCGTACCTCCCCTGCCTGCTACTCCAGCCCGGACACCCGAGCCAGTAGTTCCCACGACTGCGGCGTCCGAACAACCTCTCGTCGAAAGTCCTACTGGGGAACCAACGCAGGATACCTCTCGAGTCACCGTTTTCTTACAACTGGGGAAAGAAGTAAAAAAGGTGACGATCGACAAGGGTCTCTCCTTTGCGTCGCTTCGAGTATTGTTCGTCGACAAGTTCTCGTACAATCCGGGCCTCGAGAATTTCCCCGCCATTTATATTCGCGATCCATCGAGCGGGGTGCAGTACGAACTGGAGGACATGGAAGAGGTCAAGGAACGGTGTTTACTTTCTCTGAACATCGAGCGTGCGTTCTTTTTGAACATGATGTTTTCGTCCCTGATCCTACTTTATTCTATAGCGCTTGACCAAATTAAACAGCACATCGACGCTCAGATCTCGCATCTGTCGCAGGACATCAAAGACCTCAAAACGGCCGTTCACAGCACCAGGCAGTCTGTGCAGGTGCCTATCATTGTTGGGCAACCGTTGGCCGAAAGTACTCCTGCGCCCAATAGACCGACCGACCGGCAGTTCCAAACCGTCGCTCGTCGGCTTTCCCGATTTGTTGGAGAAGGTTCATCTTGGGCAACACCGGCTGCCCCCATGCCGATGCAGCCTCAGATGACCGGCCAGTCCCTCCAGCCGCAAATTACGGGCGGCTCTATGTTGTCCGATTATTCCTCACGGATCGTCACGGATCTCAAAACCCAATTCGACGAGGTCCAGAATCTGCGACGAGATTTAGGGGTCATGCGGCAGCTGTATACGGAGTTTATGAAGTCCACGAAGGAATCACTAGGAACGCTTCGCGGGCAGACGCAATCCGTCAAGCAGCTTGCGAACACCAGCGTTGGTGGGGCAAGAGGTTACATCGACACGGGGAAGAAGAAACTCGATACTCGGACCCAGAACGTGTTGACGGAGGTGGAGAAACTCCAAGACACCGTCGAGGGCGTGAAGGACGACGTGATCAAGCGCCAGATCACTCCCAAAGCGCAGTACTTCAAAACCATCAAGAAGGACATCGAGACTGTGGCGGCGGAGCTGGAGAGCCTGAAGGAGCACATCAATACGATCAAGCCGATGTGGAAGAAGACGTGGGAGGAGGAACTGCAGAACATTGTCGACGAGCAGGGCTTCCTCACTCACCAGGAACAATTCCTCGAAGATTTATTGGAGGACCACAAGGCGCTGGTGGAGGTGTACGGGCATGTGGAAAAGATCATCAGCATCCGTGGCCCCGGCTCCGTTGGTAGTCGTAACGGAAGGAAGGGCTTCCGTCCCCCGCCCCCTGAAGAAGGGCACGGCGGTTTGAGTACTGTTATGATGGAGATTCGAGGGGCGGCCGTGGATCCTGAACGGCGGATGAAGGCGATAGAAGCGAGCCAGAAGAGTAGGGAGAAGGAGCTTGCCAGCAGGTCGGATGAGCTGCAAGCCGAGTTGAACGACTTTGTTGGGGGCAAGAAGCTCAAGATGACTGGGGGTGCGGAGGAGGCCGAGCGGGTGAGGCAGAAGCGAAACGCAGAGACGCTCAAGGCCATGCTCAACGGAGGCGGGGTGAACGAGATGGGTGCGTTTGGAGAATCGTCATGAATTGCTCATTTTTTTGCCATCTTTTCACCACATCGTACATTCTCACTGCATATTTATCTTCGTTCCACCCGCGATCTCTCGTAGCATCTCGCTTTCCCTGTATCTTATGTAATTCCTTGTTTTGAGACAGTATGTTCTTAGCAAGCATAGTACATTCATATTTTCGGGACACTAATCATGAATTCATAAGAACACGGCGTCGACTCGCAAGTATCGGTGAGGACAACCTTGGAATCATTATTCAAGATCTTGTTCGAATTGTTCCGGAGGCGTTGATGCTGAGCGGCGCAACCTGCTAATTGACTGGAAGGTTCGAAGAGATTTGGTCCCAGCCAGGCGCCTCAGTGGCCAGCGAGACGGGGTCCTGATTCGTTGGTTAGGACAATTCAAACCAAAAAATCGTTCTGACGAAGTGGCCTTGCTCCGAAGAGGCGGTTGGTCTACTGCTTGACCTGGGAGACGCACATGTTTGGGTGTGAAGATGATATACGATAAACTGAAAGGCAAGTGCATGTCGCTGGTAAGGAGCAGCCCGCGAAGACTCCCAAACGCCACCGCATTTTAGCTTGGTCCCACGATGAAGAGGCAACGGCCGGGAAGACAAAGGATGAAAACCAAAAAAGTAAGTAAAAGGTAAGGCGCAGCCCGTTTGCTGATCGATTTGATCCAAGTTTAACTCTCAAATGGACGGCCGATCCCGATGCGCCTCGACGCATTACGCTGTTTCGATTGAAAAATATTTTGAGACTCAAGTAGTGCAGCGTCGCGACGGCCCAGTCAATTTTTGAGAACCAAGGCCAAAAAAAGCACTGCCAGTTGAATTTTGAATGCCAAGTACCACTGACATCCCACGCAACTCGTCTGGCTCATACACCTGCCAAATCGTGTTATTCGATAGATGCTTTACAGATGAACAGATTCATCTGTACCCACAGACGAATATTTTCATCTATGTACGCAGTGAACGGCGGCTCGAAAAATACACAAAAAGGTCAACCTTCAAAAAAGTACACTGAAGGGGAGTCGAACCCCTGCCGCTTGCTAACGCAGAATGCAGGTGTTCCCGTAGACTGGAAGGCAAGCATGATAACCGCTTCACCATCAGTGTCATGGAAAGCACTGGAAGAGTAACAACATGAGTAGTACCAGGTCGACCTCAAATTCGGCCTCCAAAACGTCGCTGACACTGAAATCAGCCTTCGAGTTTTGGGTTCGTGATTCATCTCCACCCCTTTTTGGTATAACTAATCAAACACAATTTTGCTCAGATAAACTTGCGGCCGGTTGATGTACGCATGCGGACGTCAGATGCACAGAACTCGAAACATGCCTTTAATATGTACACATACTGTACATAATTCCAGTCGATCGCGAACCCACCCTTCACCGAAATATTGTATGGTACAAGTTTGCAAATCACCCATCATCGTCAAAATCGTCCGCCGAGAACCGATCCAACTGCAAGCGGGTAGCCACTTCATGCTCTTCTTCGACGTCTGTTTGCACGTCAACTTGAGACGGCAACTCCGTCTGGACCTCGGGCTCCAAGAAATCTAAACATCCGTGTAGGCAACCTCGCCATTTCAATGGAACACAATCACCCAGGTCGACGCCGGCGATGACAGTCTCCCATGTGTGTCGCTTTTCCGCCGGCCTCACAAACACCGACGCTCGATTGAGAGGATGGTGAGGGGAGGGGCACACGCCGAGACTGGGTGGATCATCGTGCACCGGTTCCCAGGACGCGTCTGGATCCACGCTTCCAGGATGGATGACGTTCAAGATGTGACGGAGATGCGGTGGAAGCACCTGCCGAAACTCTTTCTTGCCAGAGCCAGACGAGCCAAGGCGAACATCCCCCTCGCACAGCGCAAGTGCATAGGTCTTCTCGATCCGGCGGTCCGCGTGATTCGTTGTGTCCGTAGAGTCTGTCGAAAAAAGGCAGCGAAAAGAAAGCTCGACCAGTGACGGGATACGCGTCGTACGGGATGTTGAGGAAACAGCGACGCGTCCGTTGCGCCATTGTGATTTCTCGCGCAGGAATAGTCGCTTCGATGACGTTGACCGTTCGCTCGGCTGCCGGATGAAGGGGTTCGGAAAAACCTGAAATGTTTTCAACTTTAGAAAACGAATTTCCGCGGGCAGGTCTTGGAGTTGATTGCCTGCGACATTCAGTGTGTGGAGATTCAGCAAGTGCCGGACTTCGGGGGGTAATGATTTAAGCCTGTTGTTTCCTGCAATTGGTGTTAGGATTGTATCTTCGTGTGTCAGGAAACCACCCACTCAAACTGAGGACTGTCATTTTGTCGAGATGTAATAATGGAATGGGTAGCCTACAAATTTGGTTGCCTCCGAGGTACAGCTGGATAGCTTGACGGGCGGAGCCGACAGGACGATCGGGCGCACCAAAAAGAATGGCAGGAGCGGTGAATGAGCGACTGAATTCCCGCGTTGCGTTTGAAGATTCTACTTTCTCCGGGGCCACGTAGAAATTACGGAGGTCGTCGATGAATTTTTCTGGGATAGAAGTCAGATTGGAGTTCCTATAATCACGTTAATTGTTGCAGAAATGAACTTGAAGCGAACCAACTCACATTAGTTCAATCTTCCCGCTCACAGAATCGTACATATTCGCGCCGGCAGCATCCCATATAGCAGCCTCCGTCTCTTGCTCGGTTTTGGGAGCAGACACTCGTGAAGGGAATGCCACGAGAGTGTCCAGGGACGACTCAGGACCAAGCAAACGCGGTTTCTTCGACTGACCACGGGAAGGAGAGGACGGGGAATGCTGGCGATTCTTCTTCGCGCCCTTCTCGTACTCTGGAGGTATCCACGACCTTTTCGCGGAGGCTGCAAACGGATCGACGGGAGGTGAGGCTTCTCCCCCGGAATCATTATCCGGGAGCGCAGAGTAGGATGCGCTAGGAGACGATGGGGGTGAAGAGTCGTTGTATGCGGTCGGCGAAGAGGGAGGAGATGAGGAGGAAGGAACAGAGGACCAGCGCGTGTCTTTCACGTCGAACATCGAATAGCTGTGGTTGGGATATTGGTTGGATGAACGTTCGCCAGAGATTCGGTTTGCAGTTGGTACTATGCGGTATGCGATTTGCTCGCGGTCACGTGAGCTTTCAGAGAATACACAATCAGTCGCGTGACACATTAAAACGGTTCTTCCTCTTCCCCCTCGCCAGAAAACATAAGATCTGCGGGAGGATTATTAGAGTACCGGCCGAAGGGATTAACCATGCCGCGCCGTATGTTCTCAAAGACTGAGCAATGTTGCAATCTGCACACCTCTTCAAGTTGAATTGGGAATATTCACGCGGCCAGAAATAACCGGAGACCTTCAAAAGCTCAACCAAGATCCGAGGGTTGAAAATACAGTAACATATTCAACTTGAAATCCAGCAGAAATTAAATCTAGATCTTCCTCATGAATCACACTCGACAGCGACGCTCTTGATAGTAGCCGTGATCGTCTCTGGTGCTTCCTTCCAATTGATGGGTCCTTTCGCCCACTCACACGTTCCTGTGGGACGGCTCGCATCCCAAATACCTACAAGTACGGGTTAGCTCAGAGGGGCACACAGAAGACGAAATTATAAATACCCAATTGGAGGCGCAGGCTGTGGCTCGGGAAATGCGTAAAGTTATTCCTTGTGCATTGGCCTTTAATTGGTGCTCCTCGTCAGATTCCTTGAGCGAGTTTGGCGTGATTGTCAATTACTTTTCCATAGCGTTCGGACAACCTGTCCATCGAAACTCCACGAAATACTTTCCGAGTTCACCTCGATAGAGTACTCGTGAAAATCCGCGATGCTAGTATTATCTGGCAGCGTTTCTTTCGAGCTGAAGACATTATAATCGGGCCCATGCTCTTGCGGATCGGAAACGAAAAGATTGGTTTGCCAGAACTTCGGCTCTCCGCAGACGAACTCGATGTCTATTTCATCATCCGAGTCGTCGCCTAGGAGGAAAAATGAGTATCAAACCATCAAGTCCTCCACAATCCTTACCTATCAAAATCCCCGCAACAATCACGCCGGCGATGGTAGGCGATTGAACCTCGAAAGTCACTTTGCCGTAGCTGAGAATATCCGCGTCAGTTTTTAACAGATGTAATGATACACAGTACACACTCGAGAGTGAAAGTGGAATTGATCGTCGCCCCGTCACCCAGCTCGTCGTTGCTCTCTGGCTTGCGAAGATATATCTCGAGTCCGTTTTTCCTCAGGGCATAGGAATTTTCCGCGCTTATTGGTTCGAAATACGAGTAGAAGGCACGAGAGGCGGGCTCGGAGTCGTTGAAGGTGATGCAGTCAAGTTGTTGGCATGGGTCACGGATAGTATGTTCCAATGCACAGCAAAAATTGAGAGATGTGAACATGAACGAGAAAATGGCGAGGATGGAAGTGTGCATCGCCAAAATTAAACGCGTTGCGCGAGTTGTGGGTTAGAGCCAAGAGTGAACGAAAGTGTCACGGTCATGTGATCGTGACTCCGGTCAAAGCGTTTCTTTGCAAGTTCGGCAAAACCCGAAGGAAGCAATTACCTTTGATATTTGATTAATATTTCTGGTCTTCAGCCTCCATAACTTCAGAGCTGTGTACATGTCGTTTGGGTCTCTCATAAGCGCTCATATTCGCATGTTGTAACTCCCTGGTAACCCAATTTCCTTCAGGCTTCAGCCAATTCGGATTAGGCCTTGCTGGCATTTTTCCAGTCCTTGAAAGCCTCGGAGGGAGAATAAATCGGAAATGCGTTGGGGATATGTTATAATTTCAGTTCGGGCATTCGTGTTCGGGTACAATTCGGGTGCCTGCCTCCTTTCTTCTCGGACTCTCTTTCCCTCCATTGAATATTGACCAAATGGCCAACGACCAGGGAGAATAATTAACGAACGTACTCAGTTGCATAATAAATGCATCCGCGAGTGCATCGTCAGTTGCAAAGATTGTGTTCGCCTTCGGGAGCTAAAACAATTTTGTCTCGTTGTTTCGCACCGGCCCTAAGTATCTTGCCTCAAAATTTAAGGAGTAAAAATATTCCATCTGGAGTCCGAGAGCTCGGGCATGAAACCAGATGGATCATTGAGTTCGAGACCCGAGGTACCTACCATCGAGGCGCGACATCGGACAGGCCCGACCGCGACTGTGCAGTGCCTCACACCTCGGTCAGGGCCAATGAACACCGGACTCGGTACCTTGGGCCAATTGCGATCGGATCGGTGTCTCGGCTTGGCTTCAGTTTACGTTTCGGACCTACGGTGCGATGTCCAAGCGATGTCAATTTTCGAAAAACATGAGCCGCCACATTTGATCGAGGCCCGGCCCGGTGCTTCTTTCACTTGGACTCCGCTTGGACTCCGCCCGGCTGACGCCACTCAAACGCCACTTCCAACTTCTCACAAAAACTTATCAAACCCGTCTGCGAACAACCGGCATGTGCAATTTGCGGAATGCACATGTCCTCCTCGACGTCGGACTCGTCCTGTCCTCCAACGCGTTTCATGTCCCCGGCTGCACTCGCGGGAGGGATGATCGTACTAAGCGCTGGTGTTTGATCCCCACCATTTTTTATCTTACGATTCGCTCGTGTCGCGTCGCGTCAAAAACAACAAAAGAAAATCGCGCGCACGACACGGCGAGTTCGACACCGGCTATCCCTCGCGCATCATACGTGCTTAATTTCCCCGCAAATATATTCAATTCGTTCACTCCAAAACGTCGCTTCTCTCAACGTCAACCTTGGGCGCGACTCGATGATGGATCCGTCCGTCTTTCGACTTGCTCTCGGAACTCGCTCCGATTGAATGACTCTACCATACTAATCTGCATTAACTTGGAGTGGAATGGACGCGTCGCAAGTTGTGGGTCTCGTCTTGACAACATAGCAAGCAAATTTAACACGCCTCCTTGGTTCAAAATCCCCACTACTGCCGTGGCAGTGCCGTCCGGCATCTGTACCCGCGCCTGCAGGCTGTGAGGCGCGCACACGCGCGCACACCGTTGACATCCCACAACTCTTCCCATCCGATAGTTTCCGTCCAACAATTCACGTTTAACACGTTTCTATCCACGCTCCAGCGCTCTTCTATTCTAACCAACT